TTAAGTTAAGTTCTTGAGCCAAACTGAATGATGAAAAGAAAAGCGATAGCTGCGCCATCTGTTTTTGAGAATAGAATTTAAACTTCCCGCTGTGAACTGTTTCTATGGTTACTTACCTTTAAAACGTTTTGTTTGTGTTGATGTTTCAACTCACATGTTACATTTAATTGTCTCTTAATTGTTACCATTTATTAATTTAATTTGCTTTTTTTTATACCTCATTAAGCAACGTACTTTGTTAATTAACTGTGAGTATGATTATAATCTTTAAAATGTTCTTATGTTAATTCTAAGTTTTGTTTTTCCATTTGTTACTTGATCTTATATTTTTCTCTTGAAATTTTTTCTCAAAACTCATCAGATTTTTTTTCTCTATGTTTGGTTAATTATTTCAGTTCAAAAAATGACAACTGATTTAACTACAATTGAAACTAAATATCGGGAAGCTGCTTTGATTCTTAAACGAATTGATACTAAAAAACTGAGCTTGAAAAAATGTATCTCCAATTTATCGGATTCTCTTTCTCCCTTGGTAACTAATATTTTTTTTCTTTTAGCGATTTACTAATGATTCTTTCTTTTCTTTATTCTTTTCTTTTTTTTCGTTTAGGAAAAGAAAGCAATTTATGCTTTAGCTATCAATGCTGAAAAGAATAAAGAATCCATCAATAAGATGAAAAAGTTCTGTATTGATGAAAGTCAACAGGCTCTTGATCCATATTTGTTATCGGTGTTACTTGGAAAGTTAATATTTGAACGGAAAGTTGCTCTTTACTCTTTACCTCAAGGAATTGCTGAGACTGATTTTATTGTCGAGCATAGAAGGAAATTAGCATCAATGAAAGCCCGTCAGCAAGAAACTCAAACACATATTTATTTGCGAATAAATAAATTGAAAACTCAGATTGAAGAGATAATTCCAGTTCTACTTTGCAATGGATTTAATCACAATGAAACGAAAAGTGATTGCTTTGAAACGTAACGAACAATTGAATTTTAACAATTTTCAAATGATTAATTTTATTTTTAAATTTGTTTTCCAGTTTTGTGACTAATTGTCATGCTTTAAAGATGAGGAGTTTCATGAGAGATTTTCATTTTCAAGATGAGCTTCTTGTATTCCGACCTGCTGCCACCAAATACTTGACATGTTTGGACATTTATAAATCGGGAAAGATAATCATCCAAGATAAGGCCAGTTTATTAGCTGTTAAAGCCATGGGATTACAAGAAAACATGAACATACTGGACGTTTGTTGTGCTCCTGGAACCAAAACCGCAGCTATGGCCGCTTGTATGAAAAACGAAGGTCAAATTGTATCAATTGATAGAGATTCAAATCGATTGGGTGAAATGAAGGTTCTATTGGATCGACTTGGTGTTAAATGTTGTAAAACAGTTCATGGTGATTTTATTGAAATTGCTTCACAGTATCTTGGTGAAGATATTGATGTCCTTCTTTTAGATCCTTCATGTTCCGGAACAGGGCGGCCCGAAATGTCCAGAGATCAGGTTGATACTCACAGAATAGGTAAACTCGCCGGTTTTCAGACTCTCATGTTGAAAACAGCGTTCACTTTGGGAGCCAAGAAGTTACTCTATTCAACATGTTCAGTTGATATGTTTGAAAATGAAGTGGTCATTTCAACTGCAATGAATGAATCACCTGAAGCTGCTAATTATCAGATTGTTGATCCAATGCCTGATTGGCCTATGAGAAGTGAATCTACATTCCCGTTTGCAGATAAAGTAATTAGATCGGATAAATCACTTTTGACCAGAGGATTTTTCTTCTGTTTATTTGAACGAATTGAAGCAAATGTCAAATCGAAAGGAAAGAAACGGAAAAACAAATTTTAAATTTTCCACAATTTATCTAATTAAAAAGTTGTAAAATTAACAACCTGTAAAAATCATCAACTGATTTAGTTAATCAACGACCAAGATAGATTTATTTAGTCTGAGGATTTTAAACTCAAAGATTCTATGATTGATCACATCGAGATTATTGAGTTTAATTATCAAAAATGTTAGTTCTTCTACATTATCTTTATGTAGAACCTCATAGTATCCTTACTTTTTGGTCAAGTCTTTCCTTTTCTCGTCTTTTAGTCTAATTAATTGTTGTAATCATGGAAGATCAAGAAAACCAAGAAGATCATTCAAGAGACTCTTCTCGATCTTCAAATGATCATCTCACTTCTGAACTTAAACGATTAGAACGACTTAAGTTACGACTTAAACGAAAACTTGAAAATTCAACCATTTTGATTAATTCTGCCAAAGAAGAATATAAAAGATTATTGAAGTTCTACAAAGACCATTTCAAGTATCGATGTGTCTACTGTCCATATTATTCGTGTAAACGTGTTAATTATCTTCGACACTTGATTGTTTCCCATCAAAGGTCTCGAAATCTCCATATCGACAGATCAAAATCAAACTGAAAAATATCAAGACTTTGACTCCATTTGATTATCCGAACTTTTTTTTTTACTATTTCTATTCACAATTAATCGACAACTTTTTGTTTAATTCTTCAAATTAACTTTCCAAATTGTTCCTTAATTATATTTCATTTCTTTGGCTGTTGAAGCTGATTTGCTGTTCTCCTTCCTCTTCTTCCTCTTCATCTCTTTCTCTTTAAACGTTATCCTTTAATCAGCTGATTGAAATTCTCTGTTTCAAAAGCTTTTCTGTTCTTGTGTTTTTCTTGTTGTTTCTTAATCCAGACAATCAACTAATCATCCACCATGTCTGGGATGCTATTTAATCTATTCTATTTGGTTCGATCAAGATTCTTCTCCACTGGTCAAATTAGTAAATCAATCCATCCATGGGATATTCCTCTTCCACCAGTGTTACACCGGACATTGGAAAAAAGCTTCACCGATAATTACGATGAGATTCTGATTCTTGGTGATATTCATGGTTGTTTCGATGAGATGTTCGAGTGTATCCAAAGTGCTCATCGCGATAATAATAGTAAAATATTGAAAATATTTGTCGGTGATTTGGTAAACAAAGGAGAGAAACATTTACAGGTATTAGAATACCTAATGAGTGATGAAGCAAAGGATTGTATCTGCATTCGTGGTAATCATGATGAGAAAGTAATTAGAGAATATCTTAAATTGCAAAAAGAATCGAAAACATCCCAACCCGTTTACGAATGGATTAAAAATCTAAACGAACAACAATTAAATTTCCTCATTAATCTTCCCTATACTCTAACATTACCTGCTTTAAATATAACAATTGTTCACGCTGGTTTAATTCCTGGTTTACCCTTGGAAGACAATCAACCATTTGATATGGTTAATATGAGGAATTTGATTAAAGATGATTCATCTAATTCTTATATCCCAGTTAGACAAGGAAAGGAGGGTGAACCATGGGCATCGCTTTGGAATGGTCCTAATCACGTTTATTTTGGGCATGACGCTAAAAGAGGTCATCAACTACATCGATTAGCGACTGGACTGGACACTGGATGTGTTTATGGTAAACAATTAACAGCGATCTTCGTTCAGGGTCCAAGAAAAGGGACTTATATCACAATCAACGCCAAGAAAGTTTACCAACCAATTACAGGCGCTAACGATTAGAAATCAAATCGTTTAACCGAAAAAAAAAGTTCAATTTAAATCTTGATAATCTAACAATGTAATACTTATTCAAAAGTAATTGCTACACATTAATGTATTTCTTAAATTATATCATATGAGTTTGAACTATTTATTTAAGTTAATTAGTTGATTTACGATTATTACAACTTCGGTTTAACATTTACAGTTAATTCCTCGAGCCATTCTGGTCGGTCAAAAGCGCCTTTGGCATTTTTTAAAGCGGAAAATATGTTATCATAAATTTTACCATCGGATAATCCTAATGATGAATTAAGGATATGATCTGGTGGAGAAAATGAATCAACCAAAGCAACTGAATTATCCTTTAAATCATAACACAATTGAAGAATCAATTCCTTGATTATCGTCGGGGTTCCGGTAATCAATTCACTTCCAGTTGATTGTGACTTTGGAAGTGACAAGTAACCAGATTCATAAAGTATCGATAAATGTTTCTCGATTGACCAAAGACCATAAAGAAGACCTAATTGTTTGAGAACTTTAATTATCTCTTTGGGTGCATGATTAAAATTGATTAGAAATGATTGGTAACGATTAAGAGCTTCTAATTCAAAGAAGACGATTGATAAGCTTCGTAAATAGTAAACTTGAGTTGCGTTTTTAGCGGCGAATTGATCACCTAATTGTTCAGTTTTTCGTAACAATTTAGAGTAACTTAAACGTAATAAATAACAAACAAGAAATTGGTAAGCATTTAACACTCCGGTTATATCATTAAGTTGATTGTTATTTGATTTTTTATCCATAATTGCATCAATTGAATCAATAAAATTAACCGAACCAAAAGGTGACCTGATTGGTTTTCCCGTTTCAACCTTTTCCTTGTAGTATTTAATCAGATAGTTACTTGTCTGTTGAAGGAGGACATTGTTATCACCTTCGTAAGTGACATTAGCATCGTGGTCATTTCTCAGGTCACCAAATCTAGCGGCTTTCAAGTAACCATATCCACCACAACATTCCCGACACTCTTGAATTGTATCCATGGCTATCCAGGTGACCATTGCCTTGCCCACTGAAGACAGTGAATGAATCTCAGCACCCATGGCGGAAATATCGGTGCCAGGAACGCGAACCATTTTGGCCAAGTAAAACTGAACGAAATCACGATAAAATGAGCCAAAAAAGTTATGGAACACAAATGAAACCGCTAGATAAGGTATTAACCTCCATTGTTGACTTTGATAGTCGATTATTGGTATTTCCTCGCCATTCGCTGGACCAAACTGCCGACGAATAGCTGAATATCTAATTGCAATGGTCAACGCTGACTGCATATTGGTAACACCAAATTGGATAATAAACAAGCGACCTGATGAAAGGACACCCAAAGTTGAGCCGATTCTTTCGCTTTTATCTTTGACCTGAGAGATGTACTTTCCCTCCGCTGTAACATCTGAGCTGCGACTAAGCAAGGCTGACTTTGGTACTCGATAGTTGTTGAAGGTCATAAAACCATTGTCTAACCCATTAAGACCCACTTTTGCGCCCATGTCGCCGATGACGATCCCGGGAAAGGTTTCAAATGTGGTTGAGTCACGAACAGGAACAAGAAATGAGTGTAATCCATGGCAAACACCATCTTCTGTGTAGAGTTGAGCAAAAACGACCGCATGAGTTGCCGACTGGCCTAAAACACCAGACCAAACTTTAGTCGCTTCCAAGTTTGGAGTATTAAAAATGAAACACTGATCCTTTGGATCAAAAGTTGCCGATGTTTTCAATGCCTTGGTGTTACTTCCGTGTGCCAGTTCCGTTATACTGAGAGCTCCGAGGCCTTTAAAGTTCATCACATCGACAATTAACTCTGAATTGCGGCCGCTTTTATCAGATTTACAGGCAAGAACAAAATATTCATAGGAAAGTGTCCGTTTAACAATTAAAGACCAAGAAAACTGACCAATTGCCTGAACAAAAGTTGGAATCCTAAAAGGTTGACTTAGATCTTCATCTTCGGAAGACAATTTATAATCAACTAAATGCTTCAATCGAGCAAAAGTTAATTGTCTCTCCTCATCTCGACTATACTCGTCCCAAGGATTTTGATGGAAAACGGGATCTGATCTTAACATGGACCAAATTTGATTCTTATAACGAATAACATAATCACCTTCGAGAACAAGTTTCATCATCTTCCAATCAAAGGTTGCCCTTGACCGCCACTCATCAAGCGGACCCTTCGGCCAATCGGGTAGACAATCAGCAACAAGATCAACATTTAATTCAGTTGATGAAAACATGATAACAATTAAACAAGAATCAACAGAAACAAAAATACAAAACGAATCCAATAAAATAGTCACAATCACAATTTGAATGAAACTGATCAAATGTCAATAGCTGCAAATGTCTGAATCAACAAGAAGAGTTTTAATTGTGAGTGACTTTTGTTAAATTGTTGATTCGCAAAGATAAAGATGATTTGATTTTCCAACTAACAATTAACTGACTGCAGTTACAATACATGAAAATTAGTTTCATGTCTTATTTAGTCAACTCCTTTTCACTTGCTTACCTTTATTATTGTATTTTAATTCAGTTAATTGTTAACATTCTGATTCGCTTGATTACTTTGCTTCGTCTGTTCATTAGAATTGCTATAATTATTATATCATTTCCTTACAATTAACTTTTCCTTACCTTCAAAATGTATTAATTTTTCATCGTAATCATCACCAACCGTTAATCATTAACACCAATCTTAAATTAGTCAATTGATTTGACAAATTTTTCCTTCATGATTTAAACTTTTCTTTGTTAAATTTGATCACAATTAATTAACACACAATTTTCATGTTCCTTGGGATAATAATTCATTTAGTATTCACGTTTTAATTGTTACTTTTTTCAACTAATTAAACTTAAAGCAGAAAAATGTGATTAGATTTTCACATTTCTGAAAATTTAACTGATTTTAATTGTTACTTTGATGATCATGAACCGTTTTTCAACTTGCTTTTTAATTTAAGTTAGTTGATTAACAACAGAAATGCAAAGGATTAATCTGATTGTTGACAATTGAAACTAAGACATAATCAATAGTTTAATTGTAATTGAAAGTTAATCATAATCACCGATGAAAAAGGAAAATGATCTGTCGTTTTTTTCGTAAAATTTGATTTTTCATTCACTTCGAATCTGATAGATCAGGTTCGACTTTTGTTTCGAACTCGCGACAAAGTTCAATCTTCTTTTCGTGGCCTAACCTCAAACGAGTTCACGAATCGTAAATGAAAAAAATACATTAACAGATAATCAGTAATCATATTCAACTCTTTGGTTGATAGAGAACCAGAATAATTGTGAGATAGTTTGTTACTGCAGAGAAATTATTTATTTTTCAATAGCAATTGGAATAGACAATTGATATTGATTGTCAATTATCATTATGATTCTTCAATTAAGAAATGATTAGTTGGTTAATGGGTTGATTTTTGGCCGTATGGTAATTTCAATTCACTTGGTTTTTCTGATGGTTCGCAGACATCGAAAAGATCCCAACACAAATAGTTCTGAGTAGTTTTGTCGATCATATTATCGGTGATTGAATTGAAATAAACAGAGTTAAGGTCGGAACATTTTTTATAATCTTCTTCACTTGGAACTGCGTCAGTTTTCATCCACCACAAACAACCATTTTCAGCTAGAGCAGCGAAAGTATTAGCATAGTTTCCAGCGCCCATGTAAGTGACCGCAGCGATAATATCTTTACATTCCTTGCAAACGGCCTTATCATAAACTTTGGGAGGATTTTGTTTAGGTGTAACTGGAGCAGCAGGAAGATTTGTAAACTAATGTCGAGGTTGAATTAGCTTCACAGACACCATAGTAAGCACAGAGTCCTTGCGCTCTACTTTGCCGTTCGATAAGAAGGTCAAATGAAGCCTCGAATACTTTAACATAAGAATCGCAAGATCCTTCAGGAGTTGGTATTACTACAACGCTCCTTAAGTTCAGGTAAGAACTCATTTTGAGCTAATCTCAAATCAGTTATATCCGATATGACTTCAGACATGCAAACCTCACAAGGAGCCTTTCCTTTAGCCCAATCACCAAATTTAGATCCACTCCAAAGAGCATCACAATAATCTAACGAAAGAAAAAAAAAGAAATCGAAACAATTAGTACAATCTATTCATCTTTAGATTCCCAGAGAAAAAAAATTTAATCGTCAAATTTACTAATGAGTACGGTTGACATAAGTAAATGTATTAATACTTACATGATGAAATGACGACGACAAAAGTAACAGCTAAGAAATGGTTCATGATTATTTCCTGGGATAAATTAACAACAATTAAAAGAATAGATTTGAAATCGAGTTAGTTAATAATAGTAGTATTGTTTAACTTTCTTTATATATTCTTTTTTTAATCTTCCCCGATTTCTAAATAATTGATCTTTGGTAATTGATTGATCGATTCCACGATTGATTAAAAAGATTCGGGCGTTTTTTAACTCTTACGAACAATTGTCCTAATATCTCGAGACCCTTGAACATTAAAGTACAAATGAGTTTATAAATTCAAAGATCGAGAACGTTTTATATGCCCTTGAATTGTTTCAATTAAAATCAATGTTAATCAATAGATTTACATAGAGAAATTAAACTCGAGAAGAAAAAAGTTAGTTGATTAAAATGATCAACAATTAACTAATCACTGTGTCTACATTTTGTTGATTCTCTGGCTAAGATCATAACATTTATCATCTTATAAATTATAAATCTTATTGTAATTATTGAATAATATTACATTTTATCAGTGTATTATTTTGTGTATATTATGACAATCAATCAATTGATTAATAGCTGTGTGATTATCGCCTATTATCAATATTTATTATTCGCTCAGTACTAATCCATTGTATTAATATTGATGCCTCGACTTTTGATTGATTAAATAAATTGTCAACACTTTTTTTCTCAGAATTTAGATTAAAACAATGTGATGTCAACGTAATGAAAACTTTCATGAAATATTTATGATTTAGACTCAGAGAAATTAAGGAATCAGGAAAGTTTAACGTTTTTTAATCAATTTAAAGTATAAATACAATTAAACAACAATCAGTATCATCAATTTGATCGGTCACTTACCCTTTGACCTCAAGATAATTGACTCTGAAATGAGAAATGAATATAAAATGACCTTGAATGAAGGTTATGAATTGTTGCTCGTGATGGTCAATCAACTCAACCAAACCATTTAACTTTCAATTACTTTGGTTTTTAATTTGACGATTAAGGTTAAAGTTGTAACTTAATTGTTTACGATTAGCGATGATTAACTTTTATTATTTAACCTTTTCCCTTCAATAATCTAAATTGAATCGATTTACTTGTCAAGTTAATTGTACTTCTTGTTATTAAATCATCATTATTTTCTAACTGTAAATTTGATTTTAACTTTGATTTCCTGGTTTAGTTAATTGTTGTTAAATTTACCTTGGTTGTAATTTAATTGTTGTTCATTTGTAAAGGGAACATAATTAAGATCAATTACTTTTTGTCGAGATGAGAATTGTTCATTTGGCAGTCTGATTGTTATCAACTGATTAAATTTTAATAGAAAATGTTTCCTTTCAATTGAAATTGCTAATTAATTGGGAAACAATTTTTAAATTAGTTTCGTTTAATTCAATTCAATTTAATCATGTTTAGTGTTAAATGTGTTTACTCTCGATGGTAATTTCTTTTGTTGGATTAAATTAACAGTTAAACAAAAAAGGGAAAATTTAAGGCGCAATTTAATCATTTTCTCTAGTAGTATAAAAAGTTAACCTCTGGCACAGTTTTATACAGGGTGTACCAAAGTGAAAATCATCCTACGGTGTGATCTGAATACAGGGTGCCCTTTAGGGCACCCTGTATATGAGGTCAAGTATACAAGTTAACCTCTGGCACTATGAAAAACCATCTTTTGGAGCCTTCTGAATACCGAGTGTTCTATGATGTTATTATATATGGGTTAACTTCTGGCACACTTCAGAAAACCTTCATAAGATGTGTTATTAAATATTATAATGGAATTTTCTATACAAGTACACTTCTAGCACATGTGGCGCCATCTGGTAATTTCCTGATCAACAATTTTGGCTTTTTTAAGCTAATTTTTTTTCGATAACTAATAATCACTGTCTACTTTTTATAACCAATAGAATTTTTGACTCCGCCCTTCATGTCTAAAATTTCCATAATACATCTCCAAACTCTCATTTCAGTTTCAGACTTCATAAGATGTGTATCTCTTCTGGCGATCAGTTTTCAAGTGTTTATTCTGTGATGGCGAGAACAAGACCTCAATATGAAAGAGTAAGTATATATTTATTAATGTTACTTTAGTTTAAAGTTATTAATAAATGTTCCTTACTCTTACAGTTAATTCAAACCTATGAGTCCTCACTGGATTACTTTACAAACAGAGCTCGTCCATATGTTACCAGATTAAGACAATTTGAGTTTGACCTTAGTGATTGGTACATTCCATTCATTCGAGAGGATTTAGAAGCCTCACTCAGAATAGTTCGTGAAAGAATAATGCCTGATTTTGATGACCCTGCATATGAGTACGCTGTCGAGTTGAGAAGAATCGATATATTCAGGACTCAATTATTACATCATTTACGTGTATTACAAAGAAATCCATTATATATTCCAGATTTCATTCAAGGTCCATAATCTGTATAAGCCCTGTATCAATATCAAATACACTAAATACACTAAATACACTATATATGACTCATCAATAAAAATGAAATTTTAAAATTCAAAAAAAAAATGTGTCCCGCTCTTTTCTCACATATAAATACCCCTGATTCAGTTTCCCTTTATTCATTTCTACTTCAAACTTCAATGTGTCTACTTGTCCTCTTAATCTTCCTAGTTATTCTTGTTATTATCGTGTACTTTTTAAATATCTATTACCATGTCTATATGCCCCCAGAATTACGAGTCGCTTAAATATGAAATAAAATTAATGGTGAGTCTCTGGAATCTTAACGGAAAAATCAATATTACTGTTGATAATTCAAAACGTAAAAAAGCTTATAACGCTCAAGTAATTAAATCTGAAGGGTGTACTTTCCTTGTATTTGCATCCGGTAAAGTAGTGGCAACCGGTGTCACGGATGTAAGCAAACCTGCAACTGTATTACAAAAACTATTTCCTAATAATTCAGTCAGTTTCATACGAATATGTAATATTGTAGCTCAATCGTATTTACCATATATGATAAATTCAGCTCATTTACTGAAAGCTCATACTGATTTACAATATGAACCTGAACTATTTCCGGCTATTTACTTGAAAGAAAATGGTGTAACTCTCCAATATTTCTCAACTGGAAGTATAATTGTAACTGGAGCTAAGACTTTACCTGATATAGAGTCTATTCTAGCGACTCTCCTTTCAAAAACGCGCATTTAAATACTTCCATCAATCATAGATGGCGCTTCTTCTTCTCAATATAAGTAGAAGCACATTGACATGTCCGCCATTTTGTGTTTAGTTCTATAATGGAATGGTTCTCTTCTCACCCAGTACATTTAGGTAATTTCATCTACCTCAAACAATCTTGGTCTTTTTTAAACGGTGAAATTTTATGTTCTCGTGTTAATATTACTGCCTATAATCGTTCATTATCTCCCACCGGATACAGTGTTTCATGTACTCTTTCTGAATTCAACTTTATAGCTGATTATATTGAAGCAACTTTATCTAACGTTTTCCACCCAAGTGAATTTTACAGTGTTAAAATCGAGTCACATAACGACCGGTTAAAGATTACAAAAGGTGATAAAACTGTGTTCCTGTCTCAACCAACATACATTAGACTATTGGAAATTCATCCAGCTCTATTTTTCCTGTTAAAACTCCAAAAGAAACCAAGAGAAGAAAGAGTCGCTAAATTCAAGATTCTTTCCACCTTATTCACTTCTACTCAACTATCATCAACTTACGGTGAATCAATAATTGACAAAGTTTCCCAGCCAGTATCTCGTGAAGTTATAAATTCGCTTGTTCCTCTTGTCGGAAAATATTGGGATTTCTTCCTCAGCAACGTTCTCGCTCCATTACAATTACCACCACGGTGTAATCTAGCTGTCGAAAATATTAAACATTTCGATCACGAGTTAGTCACTGAATTTTACAATAGTGATCCAGCTACTTTCATTTCACTCGTCAACTATTTCTATCTCATTCAATGGCAACCAGCCCCATAATGGACGATATTTGTGGCTTCTTCGATACCCAAGGGTTCCGTATGAATAAAGTTTACCACCCAAAAGAGATCGCTTGTCTAAGTGATTCAGAGATAATTTGTCTCAAAGTTTCAGTTGATGTCGATGAACCTGATTACCCTTTTCCCCTAGCTGATGTCACCTATTTAACTCAAAACCACCATGGACTTGAATTGAATTCACCCGATGATCTACATATATCAAGAGAAGCGTTTGGTTCCATTTTAAAAGAGTTTCATGATGTTGTCAAGTCCCCTAATAAAAACATTATCGCTGTCAAGTCCCGTGAAGCTGAGGAAATTCTCAATGAATTTAATATTCCTACTATAAATATCCTATCAATAGGTTGTACTCATAAAGCTATCAAAGATATTGACCGATTACCCTGTTCCCACCATATTATCCAAGCACCCTTCATAAAATGTTCTTTAAATACTGTATTAATGATGAAAAAATGGGTCCAATCCCTAACTGTTTAAGAAAAAAAGCCAAATAAAAAAAGCTAAATAAAAAAAGCCAAATAAAAAAAAAAGCTTAAATTAAAATGAAGTCCTATAATGTTTATTTACATCATCCATTCACAATGGTTATCGCAGGGCCTACAGGTTGTGGTAAAACAGAATGGGTAAAGAAGCTAATAAATAATGTTGATAAGTATTGTCTACCTCCACCAGTACGAATAACATACTTTTACGGAGAATATCAAGATACATTCGAATCATTACAAGAAGTAAACTTTATACAGGGTCTTCCTGAAAATATAATGTCAAGATTTGATGGAACTCAACCCGAATGGATAATAATTGATGATTTAATGTTTGAGTCAAGTAATTCGAGAGTTGTAAGTGAATTATTCACAAAAGGGTCACATCACCGAAACTTATCAGTCATTTATCTAGTTCAGAACTTTTTCTCTCGAGGTAATGAAAGCAGAAATATTTCACTCAATGCACAATATATAGTTTACTTTAAGAACCCTCGTGAGCAATCAATGATAACACATATAGCCAGACAGATTATGCCAGGAAAAGTTAAGAAAATACAAGAAATTTACCAAGACGCTACAAAGAAACCTTATTCATATCTTTTTCTTGATTTGAGACCTGATACACCTGAAGAAATCAGATTTCTAACTAATGTTCTAGATGAAGAAAAGTATATAACTGTTTATTTAGTATGACAGTTCAACAAGCATACACGTGTCTCAATCAATTGAAGAGGCTTAAAAAAGCTAAAACAAGAAAAGAGTTGAAAAAAATATTAGAAAATTCACCTAAATGTATTATAAGGGTTATCAAAGAGATAGCGAAAGAAACCCTGAAAGGAAATATAAAAATTTCCAAGTATCAAAAGAAAAAGCTAATACCGTATAAGAATAAAATTCGATCAATTGTGAAACTTCCAAGCGCTAATATAAAAAGGACAATACTACATCAACGAGGTGGATTCCTCAGCAGTTTACTCGTACCAGCAATCACTTTACTCGCTAACCTGTCACGTTAGATTATATTATATTATATTATAATAGGTTAGGTTAGGTTAGGTTAGGTTAGGTCTTTTGATAAAACAAAATGAATACAGTTACACGAATGGTACTTTTATCAGAAGACCAATATCGAAGATCATTTAATAAACCTAGTGCAGCTAAAAGACTACTTAATAAGAACTTGCCTATTGAAACTAAAGTTAATTATCTCAATACAGCCATTGCAAAAACAAATGATAATTTTCCTAATCTGAGAAGTGACAATAATCAAAATAAAGTGCAAGCAATATTACATGCAATCGCTCAAAGTTTAGAAAATGAAAAAGTTGAAGATACAAATATTAATCAAACTGTTGATAACACCAAGCAGGAGACTGAAGAGGTGGTGGAGAGTATGCAAGAAAATGATACACAAAATATGAATTATGAACATCAACAGTTACATTCACTTGGTAATGAAATCCCAAGACCGATATTTACATCAACTCCTGGACCTACTCAACCATTGAATTTCACCGATGAGTCAAGTAATCAAAGTTTAAAACAAGCTTTAAGAGGAATTCCAAATTTACTAGATAGATCATCAAGAATTATTCGCGAAGATGGCACCATCATAAGAGGAAGTAAATTAAAAACAATAGTCAACTATTTAGTAACGAAAAGTCCGAAAGAAAAGAAACCAAATGGGTATAATTTCATTCTTGATAAAATTATCTACGAATACCCGCTTCTATTTAAACATATTAAAAACAGGAATGCAATAACAGCATTTCATGAAAGAAGTAAATCTAGTGGATCATCAATATCATCAAGAAAGAAAAATTCATCAGAATGGAGCAGTCTTTAAAACAAATTTATTACAACCCATTAAATCCAGGATCATTCGGTGGTATTAAAAGGTTATTTGATACCGCGAGAGAGATCATGCCAGATATTACATATAAACAAGTCCACGATTGGTTACTTGAACAATCTACATACAACTTATTCAAAAAGTCTATTAAAAAATTTCCGAGATTACCTATTCTTGTTGATTCAATTGACGAGCAATGGCAAGCAGATTTAATGGACATGACATGGTTAGCTAAATATAATGATAAACATCGATACTTGTTAGCAGTTATTGATTGTTTAAGTAGGTATGCATGGGTTGAAGCCGTTCCTGATAAATCAGCACAGACAATAAAAACAGCTTTCATAAAAATAATGAACACTGCTAAACGAAAACCTAAAAAATTACAGACTGATCAAGGGAAAGAATTTGTTAATAGTATTCTCAAGTCACATCTAAAATCATTGAAGATAAATCATTTCACATCAACTGATGATGTGATTAAATGTGCAATCGTTGAGAGATTTAATAGAACATTAAGGACCAGAATATATAGATACATGCATTATGAACAAAGTCGAAGGTATATTGATGCACTTGTTGATATTGTTGATGGATACAATAAATCAATTCATAGAACAATTGGAATGGCACCAATAAATGTAACGAAAGAAAATGAAAAAGAAGTGATTGCACGTATTCAGAGGAATCAACATAGAATTAAAATCAATTATAAACCATATGAAATTAATCAGTATGTGAGAATAACACGGGCTAAAGATAGATTTGAGAAAGGGGCAACTACTAATTGGACTGATGAATTGTTTAAGATCAATTGGGTTAAACGAACACCACAAGGATACATATATAAATTGGTCGATTATTATGACGAGCCTATAACATCTATTTTTTATCATCCTGAATTAATAAACGTTATTAATCCGAGACTTCATGAGATTGAGAAGATAATTAAAGAGCGAATTAACCCTCAAACTAAGAAAAAAGAATATTTTGTCAAATGGTCAGGTTACCCTGATGAATTCAATAGTTGGACAGAAAATGTCAAGTGAATATTTTGTTGATATTATTTCAAATTCAAGTATGGATATCCATCCTGATAATACATTATCTCGGTTCACTAATCGCCTTCCCAAAAGACTAGATTTAGATGGAAATTGGTTTGTCGCAGTCCAAGAAGTGTTTTATCCTTTATCACATAAACCAATGAAAAGAGTTATTCCATATTATATACGCTATGGAGCCGGTCGAAAGCATCGGATGTTAGAATTTGCATACACAGAGAATGACTCAATTGAACAAATAATTGAAGAGCTTAATTCTAACATGACAAATGCATATAAAATTGACGGAATAGGAGACATTGAAGGAATTAATGAAGCTGATATTAAACCTCCATCAATTAGTAAAGAGTTAATTGAAGGTAAAGATCGAGTTGTTATCAAATCTGGTAGTTTACCTGATAGTTATGATCC